ATTCGAAATCTGAAAACAAAAAGACCGTACGCTACTTATTACCAGGTATTTTCAAGCAGTTTGGAAAACAAGTCTATTCTATTTATCAATTTTTAGAGGAAAAAATGTGGCGAAAGAGTTGCAAGATGATTTAAGTGACTTTTTCATATTTTGTGAGCCTTAACTCATAACACACCGAGATGAAGGTCGACGTTATGACTTCTTAATATCTGCTGCCTCTCTGCATTTTAGTTTCGAACACGATGCTATTATGACCTAAAAACTTTATTTATCTTTATTTCTTTCTTTCTCAGCGCAGAACACATAGATGTAAGCGCATCGTAGTGCCATAACGTCTTCAGATAATAAATTCAACATGTCACGATTTTTCTCTTGACTTGCATCGTCCTGTTGACCCTAATAGCTACAAAGAAGATGGACAGGAAGGGCCCTGTGAGCTGTATTGGCCCATTGTAAATGAAACAAGTTTTAGGATTTCAGCTAACAGATAATGGAAAATGATGTGGCAGAATCGCAGTCTAAGATTATATAAAAAATACATCAGTTTTAAATTTACGTTTCATTAAAGATTTTGATTAAAGGTGATAAACGAACTCAAAACAGTTTATTAAGCCTGATTATATTTGAATAGACCAAAGTACAATAGTGACGAAAATATATATATATATATACGTCTCAACTTAAAATTTTAGTTTCATCTGGGTGAGGCTGCATTAATGCAGGCATTTTAAATATTCAAATATCAGGTATTCAAGCACTAAACATCAAATATATTTGGCTATTTTTGGTACTCCAGAAAAGCTAACTCCGACCAACTGTCGGTCATAAAAACTGCATGTAAAACCAAATTTCCGTTTGCTTTACAGTAGTAATGAACTTGAATCACTACGATGTAACTGAATTTTAATGGTAAGGTTATAATACGAAGGCAGTTATGTTACTCTATTTTTTTACAATAAAAATATATACTTTTAGAAGACAGTTTAGGTGTATAACACTTGTGTCTAGTAGGCATTTAGAAAAGTGAGCTTCTCTCTGAGAATCCTAATATTTTCAATTGCATCTAAATAGTTTTTTTTAACAGTATTTATATACTTTAAAACCCCAATAGCTCAAAGTAAATTGAGAGCTTTTAATAATAGAATTCGGGGCTCTACTCGTACAGTTGGCACAGTAAGTTCTAAAGAGTTGCTCTTAAAAGAAAAACAAACAATCCAACAAGAAAGTGTACAAGCTAGCTAAGCGGTTTGTTTAAAATTTTTTTATTTTCTATGTTATGATGAATGGAAAAGTAATCTTGAAACATTTATGATTGTCAACTTTCTAAACGTACCTTACGAACTGGAGCAGAAAACACGCAAATATGGCGTCTTTAATCAGCTTACGTTTTACGTTTGGCAAGAAGTCAAAGATCAGGAGTTGCCCTCTGGCGGAGCAGGTTTAGAGGTGCAACGAGTTACAAAATTAGCGCGTGCATTGAATTAAGGACGTGCAGGTGAACATGTTGCTATACGTTTGGAAATCAAAGAACATTCGATTTACAAAGCATTATATAACTTCGGCTGGAACTGAGGTAGTCTAAACGTTCAGGAAACAAAAGTTTGTCTTATGTAAATATAAACAAAAAACAACGATTACATTCAATCAACATACCCGGTAGTTCACTGGTAAGTCTGAGGTCTTATAATGCTATGAACGGAGTTTGGATACCCGCAATGGGTAGAGACGGACCATTGCGTAGCTTTGCGCTTAAGAAACTTATTATTGCAATCTTATATTTTTTCGGATTGCGGTGTCAGAAATTTTACCAGTTTCACTAAATTTCAAGTAAGTTTATATATATATATATATTGTTGTTGTTGCTGGGTGTTGCAAGAAGAGAAAGGCTATCTCTCTATTATGATAATTATGTACTTGAAGTATCTGCTAGGTAAAACGAACTATAAATATACACACACACCAAATATGAATGATATTCATCTTATTGTTCCTAAGTAACATCATAATAACAGACGAGTATACTACAGCTAGATTTATTTACTGTAACTGGACAGTGATACGTTTAGTGATGTAACATGTTTTACATGGACTACTTATGAACTTCCTCGTCGGTTTCGTGTTGAAAAGGCGATATCTGGCTCTATATCTAAATCCGCTCCTCCCCAATGGCTCAGCGCTCAGTCTGCAGGGTTAATACGCTAAACAAAACGGGTTTGGATACCTGTGGTGGGCAGAATACTGATAGCCCATAGTGTAATTTGCGCCTGACAAGAACAATCAATCAACCAACATCTAAACCCAGCTTGAAAGAACATGGAGCTATTCTATAGCAGTTTGTAAATAAAATCACCGTTTTCTGTTTCATAACTTTTATAATAATTTCATTTCTGGTGGTATATAAGAACAAACAAGAGGGAATTCTCAATAGCCACGGCTGTAATTAGACCTCAAATCGTTCAAGAAGTAGAGCTATGAACTAAAATTTTGTACTTGAAAAAAAAACTCGGAACCATTCTATGAGCCGCTATGCCACGGCTAAAAATATATAACCTAAGTCAGAAAGTTAGATGTTTACAGTTTTGATATAAGTTAAAATGTACATTGTTTTTGTTAGTATGTTGATGCCAGTGTCTTTTAATAGTTAAGAATATCGTACTAAAGTTCCTGCACATGTTTTTTTAGTTCCATCACTTACGTACAAGTGTATAGGTAGAAAAATGTCCGCAGTGCAAATAAGCCTTTCAGAGTTGTAGTTATTTTCTTTTCTTCATTATTGTGTACATATTTCAAGACAGTTTACTTAGATTAACAAATATTTAACAGGTCAATTTCTTACCTTTCATGCTCACAAAAGACCCATAGGATCAAAGAGCAGTGTCGAAAATGAAATTCTTCGTTAAAATATAATTGGTGCGTGTGTGTTTGTTTGTAATTAAGCACAAAGCTACACAATGAGCTATCTATGCTCTGCCCACCACGTATGTCTACGGATTTACAACTCTAAAAACCGGGTTTCGATACCCGTGGAGGGCAGAGCACAGATAGCCCATTGTGTAGCTTTGTGCTTAATTCCAAACAAACAAACAATCGTCTAACTAGAGATCCGAGCTGTCCCTGACCACGTTTGCTCAGGTGTATCAAAGTAAATGATGTTTATTGATTCAAACAGTACTTCATTAGACATATGGCCTCTTACACTATCGTTGCGCAGATCAAAGCCACCTGAACCTATAGAAAAACATATAGTTATATTTCGGGCTGTTGTCGATTTTTAGTAATGTATTCGTCATTTCAGTCATCAGAAGACTCGTGCATTTAACGATAGATTGTAAGGAGCAGGTTATTTATGGGAAATTACTCGTCAAAAATTCCGTATAATCACATTTAAATTAACGTAAGTGATCTTATTTTTGTCTTCACCACTGATCGTGCCTTGGTTAATTGGTAATCACAGCCTTGTTGTAACCCCTGAATATATGCCATCTTTAGTGTTGGACTCGCTGAACCATGGTGGCCACAGCGTTGTTAGAAAAAAAAAACGTCTGGATATTTGTGGTCACAGTGATGATAGACCCCATTGAACACCCGATGGCCACAGTGTTGTCAGAAACCTCAGAATAGGTGTGAGCACATTTTTATTGGAAATATCTGTACGAATGACTTCATTTTGGTCGGAATCTTCTTAATTGTTGATGGCTACAGCTATATCGAGAAATTTATTATACGAAATATCTAAATGTAAACACTCCGCGCAAGGAAAAAAATCAATCTATGTGAAAATAATAAAATCTGGATTTTTAACAGTAACGACGTTTTCTTCAATGGATACACCAGGATGGTAATGCGATCAAAAGCAAGAAAATAAAATCTGGATTTTTAACAGTAACGACGTTTTCTTCAATGGATACATCAGGATGGTAATGCGATCAAAAGCAAGAAAATAAAATCTGGATTTTTAACAGTAACGACGTTTTCTTCAATGGATACACCAGGATGGTAATGCGATCAAAAGCAAGAAAATAAAATCTGGATTTTTAACAGTAACGACGTTTTCTTCAATGGATACACCAGGATGGTAATGCGATCAAAAGCAAGAAAATAAAATCTGCACTTATCGTATTCAAAATCTCGTTTTTTTATACAATGCAGTTGAGCTTTTCAATACGTAAACTCACGAACGTAAAACTCCTTTAACTTTTACCAACTGCTTCAATGGGTAATAAGCGCCTCCGGCTTCAGCAGTTTTTTTAAAAGTCATTATAAAATTCTTATGCTCATTTCTTCAGGCGACAATTTTCTTTTTGTTTTTGCTGTTTTATTGAGGTCAAATAAACGACGCGGAGGAACCAGCTAACATACCCCTTTATCTCTCCCTTTTTAAATACGAAGCGAATGGCTACATATATTTGTTCTGGGTGAGTTATTTTCCCTGAGGAAAAGAAATCAGTTTAATTTATTGCACAATCTTTCTCGTTGAGAATGAAGTAATTTTCTTTTTAGTCAATAGTATGTTAATACTTTATCTGAGAAGTTCATTGCATCGAAAGATAAAACAACAACGGTACAGCTTTGTGGAAGCTCAAAAGTTCTGTGTTTCAACTGTGGTTGATGTGATATATGTCAACCGTGGGTGGTGTGATACATGTCAATTGTGGTTGATGTGATATATGTAAACTGTGGGTGGTGTAATACATGTCAATTGTGGTTGTGTGGTTGAAGTGATATATGACAACTGTGGTTGATGTGGTATATGTAAACTGTGGTTAATGTGATATATGACAACTGTGGTTGATGTGATATATGACAACTGTGGTTAATGTGATATATGACAACTGTGGTTGATGTGATATATGTCAAATGTGGTGGATGTGATATATGTAAACTGTGGTTAATGTGATATATGTCAAATGTGGTTGATGTGGTATATGTAAACTGTGGTTAATGTGATATATGACAACTGTGGTTGATGTGATATATGTTGTTTTTCTTTTCGTTAACAGGTTTTATGGCACTTGGATATATTTCGCCGTAGTTTTCGAGACCTTAATGGTCATGTCTGCATGGCCGATTCTTGCATATTTTGTGCTCTCAAGGTAAAGTTCTGTGTTTTTAAAATATATTATAACATTTTACGTCAACTATAAAACATAACATAGTAAAATATTACTCTTTGTAAATATTCTAAATGGTTTCAATGAAATTTGCGTAAAATGTACTTGCTAGTTGTGGGAAATGTTGGATTAAAGGATTTATTTTAAAAAATTTACTCAAATTATTATTATTAATCATTTCCGTGTTTAATTTTTCTGAACATTTTTGAACCTCGATAGAATATTCCAAGGATATCTGTAAATATTCACAATAAATCAAAGTTATTCGAAATATATATATTTTCTTTATGCATATTTTAAAATAAGTTATGCACGTGAATACGTTTCATGTAACTTACAGCTACAGGATCCATACTTTGTTGAGTTTAGAACTTTTAAGACTAAATTATTAAAATATTTGTCACATTTTTTGCATGGAAAAATTACTTACGGCTACAGGATCCATACTTTGTTGAGTTTAGAACTTTTAAGACTAAATTATTAAAATATTTGTCGCATTTTTGCATGGAAAAATTACTGATCTAACCTAATTATTCTTCTAGGAACTTTTTACACAGTTTCAGTACAGCCATGAATCGGCGTTACCACCAGATGCCTTGAGACGAGCCTTGGCCGAGACTTTCCACCAGAGGCGCTTTCAGCTAGGAGTCATGAATGACGCTTCAGAATGTTTCGTGAGTAGAGATTTATTTGGAAAAAATATATACACCCAGCCAGTCTGTCTGTCTGTTTTTTTAGAGAAAAGCCACATTGGGCTATCTGCTGTGTTCGAACCCTGGATTTTAGCGTTGTGAGTCCGTAAATTTACCGCTGTCCCACCGGGGGACGCATACACAATTAAATACTTGTGCAAGAGTTAGTTTCAATGTTTGTATTTTATTTTTCGTTACTAAGCTCAAAAATGGCTTACAATGAAATTGTTCTAGATAAAAAAGAGGGAAAAAATTCGCACAGAGTCATTTACCAACTGATATTTATAAATTAGTAACTAAGCTATTTAAGGAGGGGGGGGGCTTTTCAAACACCGTACTTTCAGTTGCTTAATTAAGAAAAAGCAAGGGTAGAACTGGCCCTTCATATTACTGTTCTCAAAAAGTTCTTCCTAGGCCAGAAACAAAACTGAAATTTGAAAATGTTTTCCCGGGAAATGTTTTGCTTTCAATTTCTGTGTTAGTAGTAGACGAAAGTTATTGCTATATATCACAAGAGTTGATTACGTAAAACACAACAAACTTTCATATGATAAGCGTGGATACTGTGGCTTAGAAGTTGATTTTTCCCCGTGTTTTTCTATAGGAAAACATCTTACGCCAAGTCCATTTTCACATAGCTCATCAGGAATCAGAAGATATGTGTAATGTACCTCATTGTATACCACACCAGAAATTTGCTATGACACTCGTAGAACAGGTGGGTATTTGTTAAGTGTTTGTTCAGAATAGCATGAGCATTGTTATAAAAACAAACAGAACTAAAAACAACAACAACTGTGAATCTAAAATATTAGTGGTTATGATAAATAGTTATATACATTCACATCAAAGTAAATTGTGAAAACATATTTGCCTTTTATCGTAATTACTTAACACCATGCTGGACATGATTCTGCTCTAAATCTCGTTCTCGCTTCTCGAAAAATTAGTATAACTGTAGATTTCACTGTCCGTTTTATTTTCTCTTAGACTATCTGCCATTCCTGCGGCGCCACTTCTGAACCATTGTCGTTCACACAAATGGTTCACTACGTCTCAACGTCTGCCCTTCGGTAAGTTGAATTTAAATTTATGTAGGGGTAAATGTCGTATGGTTTAGTAGAATCTTGAACTGAAGATGTTTGACGTTCAATTTATAGGACTTAATATGAAGAATTAAACTGTGGTGAAATGCTACAAGTTCTTCAAATACCTATAGAATGATAGGTTTCTTTTTTGTGAGTGTAAAACACTTAAATACACCATTTCGAATTTATAGGACTGTTTTATAACAATAATGATTCGTTTTATTATACTTGACACTTTTTTAAAAAGAGAATATCGAAACAATTGTGATTAAAATATAAGTGTGTCGGTTTTGTGTTAAAGTATTTTACAAACTCATAACAAATACAAACGTGTCCATGACTGATAAACGTTGCCATTGTACAAATACTCGTATTTGAAACGAACGAGCTTTCCTCTTTTCCTCCTGTAGTTCCCAAGCAACAGTTATGGTAAACCAACACAGAGAACCAGCAGATTTCTTCGGTCAATTACTTAAGAATGCTGCTGGAATAGGAGACACTAGAGAATGCCCAGTGAGTATTGTGATTTTCTCTCTCTTTACTACAAAGCAAAGAAGTGAATACTAATCTGAGTAGCATATATTGAAAAACACGTGATGCTATAGTTATTTCATTGCGTATAAGTTATCTCTTTTAAACTATATTTTAACTATGAAAAATAGTTTTTAAGTTTTAAATGCAATAATTTTCAACATAAGAAGCCTGATTCGTAAAATATGTTTTCTAAAGTCTTATCTTCTTAAGAGACATGGAACTTTTGGTAGTATTTAAAATTCATAGAAACGTAATAAGAACAATATACTGTAAAATTCAATGGCAAGTTTTATGGTTCATTTTTGATCTTGTTTTCTTCCAGAGTGCATGTGGAACTAAAATACAAATTTGTCGAATCCTCCAGAATCATCCAGAAATAGGTAAGATACTTCTGTAGGATTGTTTAAAATCGAATCCTCATGAATCATCCAGAAATAGATAAGGTACTTCTGTAGGATTGTTTAAAATCGAATCCTCCAGAATCATCCAGAAATAGGTAAGATACTTCTGTAGGATTGTTTAAAATCGAATCCTCATGAATCATCCAGAAATAGATAAGGTACTTCTGTAGGATTGTTTAAAATCGAATCCTCCAGAATCATCTAGAAATAGGTAAGGTACTTCTGTAGGATTGTTTAAAAGCTAGTTAATCCAAACTTAAATGTAGCCTAGTGGTTAGCATATTGGGCTGCGGATCCTAGGGCCTAAGGGCTCGAAACGTCATTCTACACTTTCTGCTCTGGGTGTGTTATTAGACTTATTGTCAATCTTGCTATTCGGTTAAGAATAGCTGCTCTGGCGGCGGGCACTGCCAGTTGTTGACTTCCTTCTGATTCATAGTTCAACATTAACGATGACTATGTCTAAACCATAATGATCTGTAACGTGGCCGTTTACCTCATTGTGTAAATAAGTTGTCCAGGTGAACAAACAAACTTCGGTGCGGAATAACATTTGGTTCTTTATCAGTCTGAGTGCTATACATATGTGCTGTACAAATATGCTCGTAAATTAATCTGAAAGAGATGAAAATTGAAAATAATTAGTAAGCTTTCTGGGAAAAGTAGCTTTTGGGCCATCCTAAACAGTAACTTACATTACGCCATCATTGGTACTGAACATTCATATATGAATTTTTGGGTGAGTGTTACATAAAAATGTATTGTTTTACAAGCTCATTTGCACGACGTTAACATTAAAAATATGCAGTGTGAAATTAAGTCGATAAAGACTTTGTTACTTATGCTGTTAATTCACATTATCTCATATATATATCAAACGGACGATGCGCTACTTTGGGCATATAATTAGATTTGAGATTGTGATGAATAATAAAACCAAATTGGGTATATGCGCACCCCACGCTTGGTATTACTGGCCTACAAACATCATAATCATTGGCTGATATTCCCCATTACGTTTGCTTGGTTGTAAAGGAGACATATTGATGCAACATCACCAAATTTTGTCCAATCAGACCCCTCGGCCACAACTCTATTATAACTCGCATATTTTACCCGCAGCACATTTTAATTTGGAAAATGTCCAAATTGAAGCGCGCTTCTGCAGCTCCGCAGGCTAATAAAGTTAAAATCAGGAAGACAATCCAAAGAGAAGACCCTGAAATTCATAAAAAAATCCACTGCCTTTCCCCTCAGAATTAATAATTTACAGGGTCATACAGTTTACCAAATAGGAATATGTCCTTTAGAAGATTTTTTTTCTCATGTTTCAATCTATACGGATTTATCAAGAAGAACATAACTTACAAATACACAGAAGTAAAAATGCTAATCATACAATACTTAAAGGAGGTGATCAAATATATAAATATAAAAATGTTGTCGTGAAATACTAGAAATATGATAATCATTCTCCATAAATATATTGTTACTAGATTATAACTAACTTTTAGAAAAGATGTTCATAAAACATTTATTTAGATATAATTTTCAGAAGAAACATTAATCATTATTTCTCGTCATATGACGAGCATTCAGCTTGTTTATAATAAACGTGACAAGAAACACTTCATAAACTTTGCACTTCGCGCCATCTTTTGGCGCCTTTCAAAGCTTCTGTATAACAAATAATTTTATTATATGATTATAAAAATACCATGCCTTCTGTTTGTAAAGTTAAATAATAATTTGCCCATTCCTTTAAAACTGTAAATGAGTTTCAAAAAGCCAATTATGAAATAATTAATGTAAGTTTGGCTTCTATATATATGTTGTGTGTTAATTGAATTGTTATACATTTTAGTGAGTGTTGGCCTGGTATGGGATTCAGAACGACCAACATTAGATAACATACTGGAAGTTTTCCACTCAATCGGCATGGTTCTCAAGTTACAAGATGTAAGTTTCTTTTATCGGATTATTATGCATCTAATCACGTTTTGAAATTTCTGTTTAACTACATTACGAACTGCTACAACGAAATGCATTGCTAAATATCAATTCATTATTTTCCTTACTTCTCAAAGTGACTATACATAATTTTGTTTCACAAAATATTAATACTCGAAATCATTTGAAGAACAAAATCATGTTGGGATATCAGAAAACACGAGGCTAAGTGTTTTTATGTAGACGATAATTTGAATACAGTACAGTTTGCTGCTTTTCTTGTTTGATCAGTGCTATGTGGTTGCTTATTTATTAATTTTTAGACTGAAGAATACATTTTACTTTATAGGACTTTTTTGACTGCTGTGCCAATATCTCATTACAGAAATAATAAATATAGCAAAAATTACATAGGAAACTGTTAAAATCCATTACATTTATTTGTAAGTTCTATCGTATCTCTTTTTTTCAGATAACTGGGTATTTCAGCAACTTATGCTTTCTTGAAAATTAGAAACCACTTTTAAACGTTCATTCAAACTCTTCACTAGCTTAGGATATCATATGTTTCACAAAGTGTTAGTGACTAATACCCTAATACTCGTAGTTTTTAAAATTTCATTGAAATTCCTTTAAAGTAATTCTCTCTCTGATGAGTGTTTGTTCTTATTTGATTGGAAATTTTGAATAGAGCATTTTATTTATTTTTAAACCATATTTAGCTCTTTATTGTCATTTTTATCCTCCCATTCATCTGAAAGATGTATAAGATTTAACCACAGTTACCTAATTCAGTTAATCATTTAGTGTTTTATCATTTTTTGTAGATGTTCCATTCCGTAGTAGACAGTCAGTGGGCTGAAGTTACAAAACACCACCTAGTGGGCATTGTTACATATTATGGAAAGCATTACTCAACTTTCTTTTTTCACACTAAACTTCGAATATGGATATATTTCGATGATGCAACTGTGCTTGAGGTAGGAAGCAAGTTTTATTAGAACGTCAAATATTGAACTAATGATTACAACTTATCGACTGTAATTATTATAATTCAATAAATCCAATTTTATTTCCTAAACGTTTTTGTTTCTTATTTTATATGAAAGCATGTTTATCAAGAAGTATATGTACCTTTGCTGATGTAACACAGATTATTTTTTATGTACTTACCTTTTAACTAACATACTGTTCAATATAATCATAAATATTGAGTAAAATTATTATATATTTATTATACAGATTGGTCCTAAGTGGGAGCAAGTGATAGAAAAGTGTAGACGAGGACATTTTCAGCCATTGTTGCTTTTATATGCCAATCCAAATGGATCTCCAGTATCTAATTCCACAGCTCCAAAGTCTGTTATGATGGTCGGAGGAAACCAAACATTTGTTGAAGGTAGTTTGATTATTACAGTCTTGTTTATTTCTTACGTCTTTGTTTACTCTGACTAGAAAATAATTGTTGTGAGAGATTTTGAAATAGCAGCTATACTTTTCTGGTTCTTTAAGTATGTTACTAACTTATTGTTCTTTATCCATAAAAAGTTCACTTAAATGATGGTCTTCCTGGTGTTTAATATTTTAAGAAAAATTTGCTGTTCTCTCAAAACACTCATATCACATTGTTTTAATACGCTTAGCAATATGAATACGTTTTTAGGTACATCAAAATAATTGCACAATTTTAAGTTCTGATAAAGTGCTTTGCTCTTATTTGTCACAGTTTCTGATAACAGCCATTCAGCTGAAACAACTCTGAAGCCTGGGGTTATGTTCTATGCCAGTGACAATTATCAGAAAAAGACAATATCACAGCAAGTATTTCATGATAACTGTGGAATGGATGACATACAGAGTGAACGCATTGTGAATGAAAGTGCTCCTTTGGGAAACAGTATTAAATTAAACTTATCGCATCAATATTACTGTGGACTTCACCCGACATGGAATCATACAGAACCTGGTCATTTTTCAGCTGGTCATACACAACATCAGTTGCACCATTTCTGTCCATCTTTTGAAAATAGTGAATCTAATGTAAAGAGTTGCTCTAATATGTGTCCTAATAATACTCCAGTTCGACATGATTTTAGCCACCAGCATAATGATCAGTGGAGCTGTGTTCATCCTTATCCTCAGAGCTATAACACTGTTTCACAACCTCGGTTTTTTGCCCCAGTTGGCTCCTTTTTGCACAACACTGCCAACGATACTACTAGTAGTGATCTTATTAGTAAGTCCATTGTTTGTGACCCGTCTTATTTATCTCAAAACTTTCATCAACAGTCTGCAGATGATTATTCTCGTGTAATAGCAGAAGTTTCACTGAACTCTGAAACTATCAGTCAACAAGTGAGTAGTTTAGAAAATACTAAAAATACTAATGAAAATGCAATAGACTACAAAACCTACATCAACCGTAAAGCAGTAGAAACTGTGCTAGCTGCTCAAAAACTTCAAAGGAAGAAGTCATTAAATGGAAACTACCATCCTTCAATTGGAAATCGAAACAGTAGTAGCAGCTTGGAGTCCTATGATAACAATTTACCAACCATAAATAAACCTATCAATAGTGTACCCAACTTGACACCTGACGTTAATAATACTGCTTGTGTTCTTCAACGACGAGATTCTGGGAACTGGAGCAGTGATCGTAACAGTGCAAGTTCAGCTAGTAATACATCTTTAGATTGTCCATACTTCTATGTTGTGGGCAATAAAAAGTGAGTTAAAGATTGATAAGGTGGCATATTTTTTCATTAAGAATTATCATAACTAGTATCAAGTACTCTTAAAGATTTATGAAGAAATTAATATATTTTTAATACTTTTTCCAGCATTCTTTGAAGGCTCACTTCAAGGTAAAGTGTTTACTTACATAGCAATTAAAAAAAGACAAGGCCTAATAGTATACGGGAAAATATTTTCCATAAAATTATAGAAGGTGTATATGTATAATCTGTAACTATGAAAGTATATTGGTTCTATTGACTGACAAGCAAGTATTAATAAATATAGCAGTACATTCTTAATTGGTCTATTAACGGTTTATTTATAAACATTAATAGTGGCATTTAACTTGTAGTTTGTTGGTAACTTTCTTGCTTTATTAAGCAAGTATTGTTATATATTATTAGCAGTCATACATATGACAAATGAATCTTTTTTAATATCTAAAATATAGTATTTATCAGTTGAAATTTAAATATAATAATTTATTCTGTTCCTTATTGTAGGCCATCAGCAAATACGAGTGGTCATAAAATCATTCAAGATGGCTTGAAATATAGGCAACATGACTACACAAATGTAGGTATGTTCTCTGACAAGGGATATGACTCCTTCTCCTTATCCAGTACTGACAGCTATCCATCCATTACAAGTCCAGCTGCCAAACTAGATCCTCGCTTAGATCAAATACCAGAAGATTTGCAGACAGTCTTCCAGTTAACTGGTATCGTGAAGCCTCCTGTTCAAGAATGTCAGGATCTGATTGAAAATACCAGCTGTAAATCTAAAGGTAAAGCACTTAAATTAACTCTCATAAATAGAAGCATTAGGTAGAAAATGCATTTTAATGTTTTCTTGAGGAAAAAAAAACAATTATTCATATAATAAGAGCGAGTAGCAGTTAGATCTGCTACCGCAGACTTCAAGGTGTGGTCAATCATACACATATTCAACTGTTTCTGGCTGGTAGTACTTGTTGAAAACCTTGGAGCAGTGGCAGGGGCGATGGTCAAAGGGTTATACAGTGGAAGATCTTACCTTAACGGCATTAAAAATGGAGGAGCTATAACCTTGAGATTCAACTGTATCTGGCAGAAGAATTCTGAAGAAGAGGAAAGGTTTACCTTGAAAACACCCGTGTCATCTAAGCAATATACACCAGACTCTATTGGGAACATTATGGTTAACGAAATTCGAAGCACACGGGTTCATACGCTTGACGTACAACTGTTGAAAACCTGAGAGTAGTTAATTCTACAATTAATGACTATGTATTTTTAAACTTTTATGTAAAAAATGGGTCTGAATGTAGGAATTGAAAATTGTTACTACAGTTTCTCACACATCGTTTGTACTTTAAATTTCAGTAGTCTATGAAATCTATACTAAAAATGGGTTAGAACATGTTATTGCTGACGAACACATTTAAGTAGCTTGTATACAGGAACATCGGTAAAAGGTTGAAAGCACTCCATTTGAAACGTGGAGTGGTGGTGCTGGCTGCTGTTGAAGATGTGTTTTGTGGTGAAAAGTTCTTTGATTCTAAAATTTGAGAAGTGGAAATTTTCTCCAGTAGAATAGCTTTTTCTTTACCAAATCTTTACGTACTATAATCCTACTAACATTTCAGACTACGAAAATATTAAGACTTGAACAAAATTTCTTATTATTGGCTGCAACTTTATTGCGTGTCTTATAGGGCATCATGCCTTGCATTTAACCATTAATAAGAACAACAACATTTTCAATGATTTAGTTCATCAAGGAACTTAACTTTGTTACTGCAATCATAGCGTTCCAGAAATGAAAACGCCACTTATGAACTTGCAAATCATCTTCAGGTTTTAAATCTCAAATACATTTTATGTCAGGAAGAAACGCTGGTCAAACAGAATCCTCACGTCTAAATTATATCCATCAGTTAACAGTTGGGTTCTACCATCAACTGCAAGAAAGAAATCAGCCTTCTTGCATCACCAAAGTCAAGTTCAATATCTTGAACATTTTCAGATACTTATAATGCGTGAAAAGGAATCTACGTAAAGGTTTGGTCAATTCTGGACCTTTCTGATACTGATATTGGTATACCACTCCTTATCAAGAAACACTTACTATGATTGTTTAAGAATGATTAAACTCTCTGATCCTATAATCCGCATCGGACGTCTGTGATAACTGCTTCAGTCTTTTTAATTTGAAGCGCACATACAAAGAAATGAAGAAAATAATGGATTTTTTTTTCAAGGGCAGAAGTTGGTTGGACCATACCTTGTTTTTTATTGATTAGGTGGTTCATTCAACTAAGGCGCTACTGAGTTTCATAAGCAGTTACTTTTACAATGCAAAAGGACGAGTGTGTAGAATGCGTGTTCAGGTTAGGTGCCTACATGCGAGTCTAGTTCAAATCATATTTTATTTTTAAATGTAAATCCAAAATCATGGATCAGCCACTGTCTCATCGCATTTGTTTTATTCAATCAAGGAATCTAGAAGTGAAGAGAAAAACCTGCTGTTGACACTTGAGGAGTTCAGTCAACAAAACAATTTATGAAATATATGACAGTTTATCAAACTCTTAACTAGGAGGAACAACAGTAGTTCCAGAAATATTAGTGGAACGTCCAGTCGAGAAAACCCAATAAGCTCCAGTTGATATTCAAAAGGCATTTGACTCTCTAAATAGACAGAAACTGTTCTCCATTTCAACAGCTTACGGAGTCCTAAAGCAAACCTTTGACGCTATTAATCTTAGGTATACTACTGGAGTGGTTGTCACTGGTGATGGGTGAACTAAACCATTTAATATCGTAGCAGGAGTTTTTCTGAATGACACTTTCGAACCGTATTTCTTAATCATTGTCATTGACTACGCCTTTCATTGTGCACTGGACATTAATAAAGAGAGAGAGGACTTACCCTTGTGAATCGCGGAAACAGACAATATTGTGAAAAAATATTGTGAAAAACGTTCTTACCGATTTAGACTTTCAGACGATTTAGCATGTTTGTCGGATAACTGCTAATTCTCAATTATTTGCTTCTTGAATTAGGAGTAACTGCCAAAGAAACTGGCCTCATAATTAATGTACATCTAAAACCAAAAGCAAGCATCTCAAGTGCTACTTCGCCTTTGGTCTTAAACTTCATTCCTTATCTAGTGATAATACTGGATTAGTTCTTGACTTTAAATATCTTCTCACGTACATAGCATTTTACACTATGCAGAGTTCCAGCCGCAGAGGTCCAGCTTGGTCCGTATCAAATAAATTGTAGCGTGTCTGGAAATTAGTTACTTCCAGATATATTTAACTGTTGCACTACCAATACTCCTATATGGTTGTGAAGCCTGACTAAACTGCAGCTTTAAACCATTTCATTGATGGCTTTTATACAAAAATGATAACATCAGCTTGAGAGCTCATGTGTCAATGCAGAATTCTATGATTATCTAATACCGCTGTCACCAGTTGTTTTGAAACGAAGACTACGTGTAGCTGGGAACCACAAGGAGGAGGTCGCCAATACCATAATAATGTGAGAACTTTAGATATCAAGGAGGCTATAGCTGCCCTTATCTGACGTTTGTCAATTTTTTGTAACAAGACACTGGTCTCACTTTGGACAGGCATGAAAGTTTACGAACCTTGGATAGCCATGTACAAGTAGTAGTGTATAAAAACACAATGCGTACTACAGTATCGTAATTGTATATATACACCTGGAAAAAAGTTAAGCACCCCCGTGTTTTTTTCAAGTGATTCAGATTCGACGTTCTTGTGACTGATTATAAATTACCATTCAATCTAAACGTGTTTATCAAAGGAAATTATGCATTATTGGGCACAAGAAAACAAGATTATCACCGTAAAATAACAATTTTTAATTTACATATCATGACATCAAAATATGGACAGTTTTCACG